GTTTTTATGGGGTTGACGTCAGGAGATTGGGGCGGCCATGTCATAACGTTCACCTGCTCCATCAATTTTGATTTGTGACAGGGAGCATTATCCTGCATAAAAAAAATAAGCTTGGTGGGGTCGATTTGCACCCTTTCAACAGAAGGGAGCAGACAAGACTCTAAAATTCTCTTGTACTGCTCGCTCCTGAGGGTCTTTTCAATAGTTTTAAGAAACCAATTCCATGATAAGAGAAGCACCTCCAGAACATTATACTGAACGGATGCTTGACAGTACTTACTGCTAAATTCAAAGAGCTTTCAAAACTTCTTCTTCGGATTTTAGATCGCTTATCCTTAACTCAACTTTCGTTTAATCGGAGAAGAAAACATTCTTCCAGTCTTCTACGGCGAAATTTTTGTAATAGTGAGCCCATTCAAGTCTCTTGGCTTTGTTGGCTTTGCTTATTAGTGGTTTAAACCTTCGTGTACAAGATTTGTAACCCTGTTCCAACAGCCACCGACAGACAGTTGAAGAGGCAAGAATAACACTTTGCTCTTCGCTTAGAGTGGCTGAAATTTCTTGGCTACTTATAGTCCTATTCTTCGCAACTTCTCTCTTGATTACCCTGCCAGTCCTATCATCAATATTTTTCTTTCGCCCCCTCGTTAACTTCCTTGGAGCAGGAGTGGCATCATTATGTGCCCTAAGCACTCGAGAGACAATTGATTGTGAGGTTATAGCAATTTCTGCATTTTCTCTCGTAGATTTGCCTGCATTTGAGAGGGCAATAATAGATGTGCTGTTGAATGGCTATTTCAAGCTCTTTTTTTATTGTATGAGGCTTTCTGGAATATTCTGGAATACTCTAGATTTAATTTAAGCTGTTCTAGAATTCTCTGACTGTATTGCACAATAGTTTTCAATATTTTGTCAAAAGTTCTTTAATTTTACCAGTTTAATCATTAGAATGCGATATCTGAGTCACTTTTTTGCACAGAGTTTTTTTCCTGAATCTCATTTAAATCCAAATTTATAATTATCAATAGAATACCTTAGGGTGAATAAACCTTTCTTCCTAGGTGGTCGGGTTTCTTTATATTAGTAAGATTAAAAATATTTATAACCCCCAAAACAATGGAGAAAAACATTTTTTGTAAAAAAAAATCAGATGAGTCACTTTAAAATTGTTTAAATCTTGCAACACTAGAATTGTATATTTATAAACAATAACATAAACAAAAATAACATGTTCATCATTAATTAATCATTGGTAAGGATCGGAAGCTTATTAAGGATTGGAATTAAATTCATATATATATATATATATATATATATATATATATATATATATATATATATATATATATATAATAGATGATTTTTGTCAACTCATTCAGGATGATCTTCGACCTCTCTCACTTTCTAACGTTCTGTCCTGGTGTAATTACTGGATCATTTTCCAAATTATTCACATTATTTTACAAAATTCACGTTTTAAAGGCACTGCAAAAATCCATAATTCACGTTTCCAATTCTCATTAGAAATAAGAATTTTTGCAGTGCCTTTAAAACCCAGCAATTTTAAAAATCAATTACTCCAAAATTCGCTTGAGGGCGAAATGTAACTAATGTCTTTAATTTAATTACAAAATTAAATTCGAAGCTTTTAGCTTCCATTTTTGAATCATGGTTAGAACTGTGTAGCGAAAAAACATATTTTAAATCAGTTAATATATATATATATATATATATATATATATATATATATATATATATATATATATATATATCAGGTATTCTTAACAAAGTTAACACACGGATATTTCAATAGTTTAGGAGAAATACAGAACATATATTATCGTCTCAAACTGTTTTCTCCAGTAAACATTATTCTATAAAATCTTTCTTGGAAATATTCCAGATGTTCTCCCACACCGTTAGGCATATTTCATATGAAAGTGCTAACGTTTTGGAAATCACCTGTGGAAGATTTCAAGAATGTGTTGAAAGGATGGTGAACAGATGGAAACTGTTAGAATCCTCATAGTTGTGAGTTTCTGATAAAGGTACCCACTGGAGGTGTTAAAATTTTCCAGCCAAACACGCACATCGTGCGCGTACATATAGGTACACAAACACATACGCACGCACGTACATACATGTCCATAGACATATAGACACACACTCTCACACACACACAGACATGTATATCAAAACCTCTCTTACAATTTGTCATACTATGTTCTCAATACTGTTCCCTGATATATTTAAATTATATATCTGTCAATATTGGAACCTTTAATAAGGAGTGACTGAGAAATTCGATAAGAATAACAAAAATCGAATTATGAGCTCTGGTAAAAAAATGCTGTAACAGCACAAAATTGCATATGAGCACTGGTAAAGATGGTTGCTGAAAATATCAGGTTTACAATACCCAGAAATCCATACACAGATGTCGTCAAGTACATATGACACAGTTGATAAAGGCGTTAGTTAGTGACAGGACACAAAGAATGTGAGTTCAATACCTGTTTAATGCGGTGGAGAACTTGGAGAAGGGAATTAACAGGAGATAACAGTTAACTAACATCCATTAGACATGGCACTTGGAACTAGAACAACCTATCCCAGTGAGCGAAAAAAAGGGTTCAGTTCGACAACCGAAGAAGGCCGGAGCGTATAAAGATGAGGAAAATAGTCCGAATAATTTAAATAGTTAACTTATATATCTTTGTCAACTATTTATATATAGAGAGAAATGACAAAGATAAATAATTTAACTATTTACATTATTCGGACTATTGTCGCTATATTTATATATATATATATATATATATATATATAGTCCTCATCTTTGTCGCCATATAAATATATATATATATATATATATATATATATATATATATATATATATATATATATATATATATATATATGTATATGTATGTTTGTTGTGTGAGAGTGTGCATAAAATTTGAGGAATAAAAATATAACAAAATAATAGTTTATATATATATTTAGCGTTTTGCGTAAACTGAAGCACGGAGTGGAAGTTCCTGAAGTATTAATATTCTCGCCTGTCTCCCTTTTCAACCAGACGAGGGACTATAAAACAAGTGGGAACAACTCTTCCAAAGAATGTTCTTGTTGCTAGTTAGATGTGCACCTGTGAAAACTAAATTCTCATAGTAATCCACAAAGATTTTTTTAATCGTTTGATGTATCAATTAACTTTTAAAATATATTTTAACTCGGATCCGTGAATTATATTATATATATATATATATATATATATATATATATATATATATATATATATATATATATACAATTTTCCATAGAGCGTATCATATATATATATATATATATATATATATATATATATATATATATATATATATATATATATATATCTGAAATTCCTGTCGTATTCGACGTATGAGTGTCAAACAGCTCAATTCCAAAGAACCGACAGCCAGACACCAGCACATTTGATTTTCATTATAGTGCCTAAGTTTTTGTTCGGACCATCCACACTTTTTGAACCTATTGGGTTCTATAGCCCTCCTTCTCCTAGACCAGTTGTCATACAGGGCCATAGAACCCAGTAGGCCCTACTATTTACCCATAGCTGGAGGAAGAAGAAGATGATTCAAAACTTTCGCAATGGTATTAGCAGGTAACTGAATGTAATGGATTCGACTGTAACTCGAACTCGTCTCTTTATTTTTTATAAAATGAAGTGTTTTACACTTGATCAAAATAATAAGACCAGAGACAAAAATTCTACGAAATTGTACGAAAACATTCAATAACCAAATTTTATAATGAGTTCTAGTTCTACAGGTTTTGATGACTTCAAAAATTTCTTAGGTCATGCTAGAAATTAGTGTTTTCATTAAGCTGTGAGGAATATTGCTCCAGCTTCTGAAGCTAGCTTCTCGAAGTACATTTTTTGTTGAATATTGTTTGCCATTTCGATAAATATCTTTTGCCATCCATCCCCAAACATTTTCAATTGAAATAACCATCACTCCACACACAAACAATAACCTTCCGTCACCAACGATGCTTTTTGTAGCATGCTAACATAACCATCCTCTGTCTGACGACCCTGCACCATCTGGAGCTCCATCGTCCCTCTGTAAGAAAAGGCACCCCATAACATTAGGGACCCCCAAAACTATGACGTGTGGAGGCATGTTTTTTTTTATGCCAATATCGTTGGAAGCCATCAGTCTTCAGATCATCAAACCACTACTGTCGTTATAAATTACTTTACTTTAGGAAATGTCCATTTCATGCCTAATAATCTTAAATAGTCTCTCTCTCTCTTCCTCTTTATGTGTTATTCAGTCTCCTTCTTTGTCTCTGTGTGTGTGGAGTGTTTAAGAAAAGAAAAACACTATTTTATGCAAGTGCTTGTTGATTAGTATGTAGAAAAAAAATGAGGACTGTGTACCGTTTTACACATATTCATCATCACAATAATCATTATTACATATCTTCACAATAATTATTATTACTTACCTATCGACAATTCAGCACTATATGCGTTTTGTTATGTGCAATAGATAGACGGATAGATATGAACAGAAATGGATAGATTAATATGAACAGATTACGAAAGAGTGTTGTATAGACGAGTTGAATGATACACAGATAAGAATGAGTGCCTAATATATTAGGTGCTAATGGATGCATACAAAAAACACACAACAGTATGTTACAAAACAATTACAACTTGCAAAAAATAGAGGAGGGTCAAATACTCTATAGTCAAACGAAATAAGATCAATCCGAATATTAATCAGCTTATTATCTATTTATTAATCAAATGTTGAAGTCCGTAATCGGAGACTATTGAAGGCTATGAGGCATGCATTCTATAGAGTGTTGAAGGGGTGCTAGCTACTCTACAACAGATATGAACAAACCGTGATTAATAGTTAGATAGATAGTGGTGAGAGATGAACAGATTGATATATATATATATATATATATACTGATGAAACGATAATGATAGATAGATAGATAGATAGATAGATAGACAGACAGACAAACAGACAAACAGACAGATAGATAGGTATAAATATGAATAACCTATAATACAATAATATGAACAAACCTGGATTGATAGGTATAGTGATTTTCCAAGCGTAGCTCATATGTGGCACTAGGCCGAAAGTCTGGGTCACCCCTTGAGTATCCAGCTCTCCACTCAGTCGCAATTGATCAAGCGAGACAAGCTTGCTAATCGTTACACCACATCGAGTTGCCCTGGGTATACATGAAGAGACTAGCTAGCTAGCTAGCTAGCTAACTAGCTATCTAGATAGATAGATATTGAAGATGCTGAGATAAATAGAGAGTGAGAAAGGGAGAGAGATCATACGGAAGAAAGGATAGACAGATAAATAGAGAGAGAAAAAATATATAAATATTAATAAACTATGATAAACAGATATGAACAAACCCTGATGGATGTGTATATATGAAGAGTCTAGCTAGCTAGATGGATATTTATTAGAGTTAGATGGATATCTATCTAGCTATCTAACTAGATAGATAGATAGATAGATAGATAGATAGATAGATAGATAGATAGATAGATAGATAGTGGCTGATATAGATGTGAATATACTTATTTAGATGCAATTAAATAAAAAGCTATATACTGAGATAGATCTATATTTAAAAAAATGAATTTATGTGATATTTATTTGAAATGACTTTATACAATTTGAACATATATTAAGGCCGTGCCAAATATTCCAGTACTATCACTTTGAATATACAATAGGAAACCGGTCACAAATGGAACCATTAATTGTATGCTTGTGTCAGCAGATGTGCGTGAATATGTGTGAGTTGATTCGTTTGAATCTAGAAATAAGAGATTTGTTACGAAGATCAAACGAAGAAATAAGAATGGCTCAGAGCCGAACACAAAATGACCTGCGTGCAATTTAAAGTTCATAAAATAAGAATTCCGAGCAAATTATCTTTCATATTCCTTGTATTCTCCGGAGAGCAATTTTGGAGGCTGGCCAGATCTTATGCAGTGTTTCATTATAAATGATTCTTGCTTGAGCCACAGGAAACTCATTGGGGATTTGTAAATATTACATGTGTTTCCAATCAATTCTTATAGAAAGATGTACACGTCACTCATAACCACTGTCTCGCAAAATGATTTGACAAGCGATGTCAGATGTTTTTCCTGAGGCTTATAAAATAACTGGATGAGCTATCAATAGAGCATGAAAATTCCATCTTAGAAGTGTTTTATTTATTTGAATGGCGTGTCCATCATTTCCATAACACGTGAATAAAAAATTATTTTAAATATATTGAATATGGGATTCTTATTTAAACACAAAATATAAAATCTGTTTTGTTTTCTTTTAAAGGAAGATATTTGCCGGAATTTTATTGTATTCATTTTTTATTTTAATTTCTAAGAATAAATATTGAAAACGTATAGAGCTGATCGTCAGTAAAAGTTTATCCTATTTCTAAGCAGTAAATCTCATTTCTTTCTGATTTTCAATAAATTCTCTCCAAGTCTTTGTGGCCGACGAAGCATTTTCCACACAGCAAAAAATTTCTCACAGTCTCAAACCTCAATCTCTATTTCTATAGTGAGTATTTAGATGAACTACATTCCTTAGTTCCACTTGTATTAATCTTCAAGGTTAAAGTTTGTCATGCCACGCACATTATAGCGAAACACCATCATTCCATTCATATTATCCTGTTGAGATCCACTCAAGTAGATTTTGTCATGAACCACTGCCTTGTTTAAACGCTTCCTAAGTGTCCGAGTCTCCGACCTTTACAATATTAACCTGTTCAAGATTATGGATACCCCTTATCTTCCGCCGCTATCCTCATAAGTTATCCTCTACAACTGAGAAATGGTGAGAGGAAAAATCTTTGAGGTCTGGAGTAATGGTACCGAAATTGATACTCTGGCTTCTATCTTCAAATTACATTCAAGAACTATCAAGAGAACGGTGAATAAGTTTAAAAAGAGGGAACCGTAGAGACGAAAACTGGATGAGGTTGTCATAACAGAAAGAGGGATCGTCATTTCAAGTTAGAGCTAAAGAGATCAATTAGAAAAGATACTACTTAATCCATAAGGCATTTGTCACGTGTGAGAGGGGTTTCGTCTATCACAGTCCAAAGAACAGTGACAAAAATTTGAAAATGACATTGTATCTGAAACCTATGAGGCACCTTGTTACACCAGGACAGAAAGTTAGAAGTTTAGAGAGGTCGAAAGTCATCTTGAATAAGTTGGAAATATGATCCTGGATATATATATATATATATATATATATATATATATATATATATATATATATATATATATATATATATATATGAACTTAATTCTAATCCTTCATTAGCTTCCGATCCTTACCTAGGATTAATTATTGATGAGCATGTCCTTCCAGTTTATGACCGATTTCATCACGATTCTCCTGTTTAGGAGAATAATTATATATTCTTATTGATAAAAATATTATTCCATAGATTAAAAAAAAGACTCAGAGAATTCGAGAAAGATATCTTTAATCATTTCTGTGATACACTGGTTCAAAACATAATCTCAGAGATGGACAATTTTGGTTTACACGATTTGGAAAATTTTGCTGTTTCGTCCAATACATATATATATATATATATATATATATATATATATATATATATATATATATATATATATATATATTTATGAATAAATATTGTCTTCTCTACCGATTAAATCGGAGAAATTTTCTTATATATATATATATATATATATATATATATATATATATATATATATATATATATATATATATATATATATGGCAGTAATTGACTTATTTTTTAATCACTGTGAACCCCTTTCTACTTGAAGGTTATTTCCTTCATTTTTGTAAAACTATAATACAATGTCCGCCTCTATTTTACTGTAAACAATTGTATTTTTTTTTCTTAAAATACTTTATCTGCGATCAATCTATTCAAGTTTGATCCTTACATATTTCGAACATTAACTAATCATATATTGATAAATAATCTTTTTTGATGTGATTTTAAGGCAAACTCAAAATACAAGATTTGGTAAACACGAGAGATATTCATTTTAAGCAATTTCCATCTGGTGAATAATTAAGGTTTCTTAAGTATATATATATATTAAGCAGTTGAAGTATTGATGAAAATTTCACAAATCTTTATTTCTTAATTGCTGCGACTATAAAATCACCGTGTAATGTCTCGTATTGTCACTCTAAATATGTGAGCTTAACAATTCTAGAAAATGCAATTTTACGAGGTACGAGGGTGGATATAAAGATTCAATTTGAAAGTTCTCTTTGTTTTTTTTTTACTGTAGCAGATGTTAAACACACAAATGCGTAGTCGCTCGCTTCCTCCAACTTTTCTTTCTTTTGTTATTATATATGCTTTTTTCTCGCTAACACCCGAAAGAGTCTCTAAATTCTCATTTCCTTGGGTAATGTTTCGCAATCTAAACGGTATGTTAATGGTAATATTTGTCGTTTCCCTCTAAGGAAATATTTGGCATCAATTGATTATGCAGATAGAACACATTTTGGCTGAAATATCTAAAACATTTCTCTTAAAAAACATTTTTAGGAAAACAGGTTTCTCAATATCTTATCGTTATTTCCAGCATTGATAATGGTTTCCTTTCGAACCTTTTACTCGATGTGGTTTGGAGTGTTAACAATTTGATTATGTCGTTATTGTCCCTTCGAATTAAATGTGCTATCTATTTTAGTTGTTGAGCAGTTGATAGTCCTGAAATGTTATGGTTTCCACAATGTTTAAAGAAAATTGTTCTTTTCCAAGACTCTTAAGCTTTACTCATCCAAAGCATTTTTCTCCAATAATCTTATGCGTTTGTTGTATACAACTGACTGTTTATATATTTCTGAACGGGTTTGGCGCCAAGCATGGCGTCCATATGATAGCTTCGATCTGACTAGACTATTTAAGACCATGACTCAAATATTCAGCTAGAGGTTTTGCTTCAATTAATTATATTGGCAGAGCGTATCACACGTGTTCAATAAATGTATACCTAACAGCGGAACAAACAATATGGTATTCTAATATCATGAACATTCTTCATCTCTCGTAATCACTCGTAAAAATGGCTACGATCTCAGTTTTAAGCACTCTATCCTCCAATCGCTTTCGTAGTTAGTTCACGTTGTAATGTGGTATCTTAGTGTAAAATGAAATCGGAAGCTTCCTCACATTAGAGTAATTATATTTCAATTTTGCAAACAACTACATTAAACAAAAGAATGAAAGAGCGTTGAATTTTCTTAATTATTTTAGTCGCATAGAAAACGCGAAGAGCAAACAGTTTAACTGTGATGTTTCGTTATTTTTCTTTTTTTCAATTTGAACGATCACCGAGATTAAGTCCGAAAATATAAAATAAAACAAAATTGAAATGCAACAATTTCCCGACCAATACACTTGCTTTGATTGCCTAAGTAAATAAAGGCCATTTTGTAATGAACCCACTTTCGTATCTAATCAGATTTGATTAAATCTAATCGAATTTATTCTAAGTGTGATGCTTCATCATTTACCTGAAATGCAAAAAACAATAAGAATTACAATTTGAAAAGTACCCACCTCACCCCGGTTCTCCAAACAACGACTGAGCATGCGCAAACTCAAGCGATTACCAAAAAAAAAAAAATAAAAATAAAAAAAAACGGTTGATGTATAGAAGATTCAACTTTCGATCGCATAGTGATTGATCTTAGGACAATTTATGCGTTGGCAACAATTGAACCACTTTTTATTAGCGGCCAACAGACGGGTGATTTGATTGGTTTTAATTGACAACGTTCTTCAACATTAGTATTTCTGCTAGTTTGACTTTCTTTTTCTTATCGCTCTTTCTCTCTTTTTTATTTTCTGTGATGTTTATTTTATTCTTTTTCATCTTTCTTGCCAGTCATGCCAACGTTTCTACGTATATTTTGGATTGTTTTTTTGTTTTCGTTTCATTTAGCTGCTTCATATTCTATTCTTCAACTGAGTTTCACTCCTTTCTAATTCGGCGTACATAGGTACTTGTTGTTCTTCATTCCATCTTCAGATTTTCGTTTTTATTCTTATATTCCGTAGGTATTGCTTTTACTTTTATTTTATCTTTCATACTTTGTTTTTCTGCTCCATCGTTGTAAGCTTTCTCGATTTCTTATTTGTTTTTTTATATAATGTGATTGACTTTTTCTCTCCTTTCTTTTTATTCTTAATTCAGTTTTATTTTACTTCATTTGCACTGCCTGATATTTATTTGTGATTCTGTCTTATTTCCGTTCGCTTCTTTTCAGTTTCATTCTGTTTCATTTCTTCTTACGTATATTATTCCTTCTAAAAGCTTAAATTATTTCTTTTTTTTATTTTATGGAAATCCTTCTATCCGCCATTCAACTCATCGCTCTTTATATATTTTCATTACTTCGCACTACTTTTATTTTTTATTCATTTAGTTCTTCTAATTGGTTTCTTCTCTCCATTATTCAACTACATTCATCCTTACATATTTTATTCATTCTCGTAGTCTTCAGTTTTTCTTTATCTGTATAGCTCCTTTCTTTTCCTGTATTCAGATTTATTCTTTCTCAGATATGTTTTTTATTCGCACAGGTTCGACTATTTTACAATGCCGGAAAAAATCTACGATTTGTCGCGATCCTTAATTTACTTCTTAAACGTTCGTATATATTTATCGTAATATTTTCTCTTTTTTATTTTTCAGTAATTCTGCAATATATTTGGCTTTATTCTATTCTTCTCTATCTTTCTTTCTCCGTCCACATATCTTACTTCTTATATTTTTAACTCTTCTCTTTTAGTGCCTTCTTTTCAGTCTAGTTCTTATTTCGAAATTATAAATCAACGTCTCATTATTGCTATCAACTCTGCTTTATTCATTATATTTTAAAAAGTCTTTTATTTCTATACGCTTTATCTAAAGTATCTTCTCTCTCATGTCCTTATGCTTTGAAAATGCTTTTTTTTTCTTCTTCTTTTAATACTGAATGTTATATATCCTGTTCTTTACATGAATCTTAACAGTTGTTACATTATAGTTCACTTTATTTTTTTTATTGTGTTTTCTTCTTCTTTTTCTCCATTTTACCGTTCCTAACCCAATATTCCATCGATTTCTCTTCGACTCCTTTTCTTCCGTTTTTTTTTTCAATATATTTTTATTCACCTATTCTTTCCACCAGATCGATGATCTCTCCCATTTTCATTTTAACCCTTTTTTTTCTCGTCCACTTTTGATTTGCATTTTCTCTTCTCTCTCATCACACTGATCACCTCGAGCTTTTCTGTGCTTCATCATCAACATTGCTAAAATATTCCACATATCGTGTACGATATATTTTGCTTTTTTATTTTTCATCGCAATTATCTGCTAATTGTTCTTATTACTTTCTGTACACCATTTTTCATTATCCGTTTCTCGTTCTCTTTTGTCTTCAAACATGGTGCATCATTCTTTGATATATTTTTTGGCTATTTCTGCAATAGCGCAAATGCCTTCCTCGCCAATCTCCACATTTTCCCCCTTCTCCTATACCCTTACAGTCCATCAACTTTTATTCTTTTTTTTTCCCATTCTTTCCCTGTATTTTTTCTTCTTATCCAACATGCTGCCCCTATTCTTTTGGAAAATCTTTAATTATATTGGTTCAGAAGTCTCAGGTGTAAGTGCTAATTAATTGACTTTTCTCCAACATTCGAGATGTTAAACAATAACATTTTAATTAGTTTATCAATATTATCGATTTAAAAAGAAAACATGCACATATTTAGAAAGCAAAAACATGAGCTTTGAAGTGTGTATAATATTTTGGGCTAACAAAACTAATTTCTTTTTGGAGACTTTCCTGGGTCCCTGTATTTTTTCAAGTTTATGTTATTCTTGGCATATCTTTTGGTGATCATGCCTAACGAGCTTTTTTAAAAGAATATCAGATATCGGTACTAGGAGAGAGATAAAAATTCCTTAAAAAAAGAAAAGTAATTATGAAGAGCGATAATCTCCAACGTCTTGAATATAGCATAATTAAGTTTTTCTAAAAGTTTTCATTTGATTCTTGAGAATGTGAAATACCGTAGCACCCCACAAAGTTTTATGTTCTGTAGCCTTTAGCAATGTTTTCCCTCTTAATATTTTATTTTAGAATAAGCTTCACGCTGTACACGTCCCGGGGATGGGGGCACTCGATCTAGAGGGTTACGTTAAGAGTTAGTTATATGAATAGGAGTGAATGATAACTGTTGAATCTAGACTTGAACAGGTTAAGATAGTAGTGATCGAGAAAAAATCCCCTTAGGAGTCTGTCCCATAGGGAAGTGGTTCGCGGAAAGAAACTGTTTGAGTAGAACTTACTTCTCGATGATAGTATTCGGAGGGAATGTGGGTGGTTTGTTCCTGTGTAAGTGGCATGGTGGGTCTTAGCCGTGAAGGTCAGACCTTGTGGAAACAGGAGATGCACTTCGTCCGAGCACTTTCCATGGTTATAGTGATAGAGCAGTGATAGAGGCATGCCACATTACGTCCGTGAGGGAGAGGTTGCACGATGGAAAATAATTCTTCTTCTACAAGGACTCAGGGGCGTTTTGAAATCCATCAAGACTGAAAAGTGAGGCCTGGGTAGCCTCTGCCAACATATAGATACAAATTTCATGTTCGACCTGATCTGGCTCTTATAAAGCTACAGGATACCATGAGGAGCCATGTACTTACTGAGACTAACAGAGTTCTACCATCATGTTACACGTAACAATTAAGTGAAAGTTACTCAGTATTGCTCTCTACCCTTCTTGAATTCAGAATGTTAAGATGAGCCATACATTACCTAATCTCTCTTCCGTCATTAACTATCAAATAAATTTTACCTGTCTCCATTTGATTCAAAATAGAATTGCCATTCTGATCTTCCTTTTCTTTAAAACTTCCTCGTTGCTTACAGTTTTCAGTCCAAGTTATTCCCGGCATCTTTTGTTGAACTACATTTTTTTTGTTGCCTCATGACTCCTTTCACCTGAAAGGAAATTATCCAGTCTTCATTGCCTCATAAGAGAATCGATATTACATAGCAGTTAAATACTGCTTAATTTCGAAGGAAATTTCTGTATTAATTGTTAAGTTTCATCCCAATCAGAGTGATGGATGTCACTAATTAGTAAGGGCTTATGAAGAGCGAAAGAAACTGAGAGATGACAAAAAAAAGTCCAGATTTCCAGGAGATAGATGATGATGATTGATACTCCATTTAAATTTCTGAAGATCATAGATGATAAAAAAGCAATAAACAGGAACAGAGTTCCACAACTGATATATGCATGAAAAGAAATTATTATCATATAATTTCCGGTTATGTATAATAATGTCAACAATAGAAATATGAAATATTACGTCTAATTTTAGTAAAATTCCTTAAGTTGAGGTAACAAAAAGGAAAGCTTTTAAAAGAATTCTTCTTTATGGGCCGTATCTACTCGGGACGTAGTCGATCATCTCCCTCCGTGACTCCTTATTTATTGTACCTCTTAATGGATTTTGTCTTTTTGCTATTTTTCCTAAATCTTATTCTGTCATTCATTCACTTATGCCCATCACATAATTTATGTGTCCTTTACCTCTGTCCCTCTTTCTCTCAATTTGTCCTGTGAACACGTATCGCCTGACAAACTACAGAGAGCTCAAAGACAACTACGCACGATTTTAAGTGGTATCATTTTTTAAAACTTTTGAACAATTTGAAATTAGCCAGTTTATTTTAAAGCTTGCTACATGTTTTTTCTTTTTAAGAAAAAACACCATTGAAATATTAATAGCAACTGAACGGAGAACGACGTATAAAACTTATTTACTAAACTTTTACGGGTGCAGTACATGTGTGAAAATATATATAGACTAACTGAAAATAATATTTAAAAATATATTCAAAAATAAGACTCGGTTACAGGTACTATATTAATACACTGCATATGCACATATCTTACACGTCTAAAATCATGACAAAAGCAAATGGTAGCAAGACAGCAAGATTCAGTGTGGTTATAACTAAATGAAGCATCGCATTACCTCCCACACATGCTCAATAAGGAAAGAAGCGATATTTCCAGCAATAATAGATACTCACGCGAACAGCGAGTGAGTAGGCATTATCCTGCTTGGAGTGCATATTGCGAAGCTTCAGTAGTACTTGAACCATAACATGTTATACGCCGTAGCGTACTAATGATATGTCAGGATAATAGTCTCTTGATTTATTTATAATTTTTTATTTAAAAATATGATTCCATCGCTACATAAGAGTTCTTTGAATTAAATTGAAATCGATTTAATTCAAATAATTATATTGAAGTTTTCGACTCTTGTTTTGAAACATGAGAACTCTTATGTAGCGATGTAATCATATTTTTAAATAAATAATTATATTTAGGGTCTACTTTTGTATCGAGCACTGTTTTTTTTTAATAATAACAAAAATACTAAATAACTTTGGATTATTTACCTAACGAGTTCTTTCCTATTTTCTATATATTTCACACACACACACACACACACACACACACACACACACACACACACACACACACACACACACATATATATATATATATATATATATATATATATATATATATATATATATATATAAGAGAGAACTGCAAACGTTTTAGGTGATAATGTGGATTTGGTTGAGTGCATATATTATATTTCAGTATTCATATTTTTGCTACACATGTTTCCAGTCTCGTGAACTTCTTCAGGGAAATTAAAGGAATCAATTTTTAAAGGAAGAAAATTTCCTTATGTCGTGAAACTTGATCTCATTTTTGGACTGTTGGCAAAAGTGAACAAAGATATATAAATAAAAAATGAGATCAAGTCTCACTACAAATAATGAAAATGAACAATGAAACATTAAAAAAACATAAGGAAAATTTATTCCTTTAAAAATTTGATTCCTTAAAATTGCCTGGAGAATGTCACGCGACCGGAAATACGTGTAGCATAAATATGAAGAATAAAATGGCACGCTTTTATATATATATATATATATATATATATATATATATATATATATATATAGTGAACTTTCCTGTCGTTTTAGACGTATGAAAGTAAAGCAGCGTAGTTCCTAGGAACCGACAGCCTAGACACCAACACATATGATTTGATTACAGCCTTTGTTCAGAACCAACCAAACTTTTTGATGTTATATATATATATATATATATATATATATATTTGTGTGTGTGTGTCTGTGTGTGTGTATGTATTTTGTAATCATTACCGCCCGATTCACTTAAAAAAAAATATGCCGGAATATTATATATTTGGGAGAAATCATTTCTTGGTCCACCCGAGTACATTTCCCCAAACGCCTATATAAGTTTTTCTTTCTTTTTATTTGATTCCCATTCAGTTCATATTCATATTAAATGACATTTATTTGTATTGCGTCTTTCATTTTTTTTCATTTCAAATTAAATGTCTTTCATCTTCATTACTTTCAACAAATATCTTTCTCAGTCACAATCCGCCAGCTTTTTTAACCTTTCCTATTTTCCACCTTCTCCTCCTTCAACGTGTTAGTGTCTTTTTTCTTTTCTTTTTTTTCATTTAATCTCTCTCCCTCTCTCTCATTCTCTCTCTATTGCCCTCCCTCTATCACACTTTTTATTTGTTCTTACAGTACTTATTACCTTCATTCACTTCCTACCTTATCTGTCAATAAGTGTTCCCCAAGACTATCATTAGCAGTCATGGTCTGCTGCTTTTTACTCTTTGGCTACAAATCAGTGAACTATTACGACACAACTGGGGCGATAACAAAACCCACGCTATAAGGCCTCAACATTTGTTTGATAATGTAAATGTAACTATTTGTGCTATCACACGGTTTTGTGTTGTTTTATGATGAATAGTGTTCATCTTTAGGACCCCCAGAAATAAAACATCATTCATAATTTGAATAGGTTATTTATTACAATTTACAACACTGTGTTGATACTAATCACGAATTTATATATATATATATATATATATATATATATATATATATATATATATATATATATAAGCGTATTCTACACACTTGGGCAAATTATTTGAAACAACCGCTTTAGTTTCTTTTCTTTCACCATATGGTCAGTTTTAGACCTACTGGAGTCAAAATCGATTTCTACTTTTTCTCACAATAGGTAATTTGCAGTGGTGTGCAGTAATTTCAATCTGTTTTTTATAGAGTGTATGATAAAATGTGTTTGGTCTTAAAATATATTTCGTCATCCGTGATTGCATCAGATTTCTATAACGCTCAGACACTATTGTCTCGACTGTCGATTAGTTGTCCTACGGTCATTGCCTGCGATGGACGTTACTCCAAGAAAGCGTAAGAAAATTGTAATACCGCACGAACACAATGGCAAGTCTTACCAGTAAGCAAATATTATAGACTGACTTGGAAACTCTCCTGATTTAAATCCAATCGAGAATTTGTGGTCAATCTGCAAGGAGCAACTGTGTCTAATAGGCATACGAATTACTAAAATGTACATTATCATGTTTCACTGGAAAAATACGAAAAAGTAAATATTAACGGAATTATTCGTTTTGATTTAATTAATTTACACAAGGCTGTATAAGTACAAGTAATATTCGTTTTCTAGTGTCAACCTTTACCTTACCACATATTCATCTTGTCTAGTATGAAATCTTTTATACAAATAGTGGAGCATCTAAGTATTTTTCCCAGTAATCCTGGCGTACACACATTTCCATTTGATCTCTTCTTTTTACCTCCACCCTGGATTCTTGCCGTTGGTCTTTATAGATATCTCATTCTGCTCACCCACCAGACACCGGATGAGAAGGATAATTATATATATATATATAATTATATATGCAATTTTTATATATAACTTATATAATATATATGCGCGGTATTTATTGCAATGAGCTCAATATCACTGCTAGAGCTAACATATTTAGTTGGATTAGTGCATATATATATATATATATCTATATATATATATATATGCATATATATATATATATATATATATATATATATATATATAGAGAGAGAGAGAGATACACCCACATATATATACACAGACATGTATATATATATATATATATATATATATATATATACACAGACATGTACACAGACATGTATATATATATATATATATATATATATATATATATGTACACAGACATATTTTTGTATATATATATATATATATATATATATATATTAATAAATATACATATCTGGTTATCGCAGTGTTGGCACAATTACATATTATACTGGGATTGCAGAATTTTATTTTTATAAAAATTATTTGGCGTTTAATAGAAACGGGATTTGTGTATATATGTAAGGAGAAAAATTCAAAGAATGAATTTGATTTGTCAACATTTATTTTTTAATTTAAAATTGAAGTGCGATTATTATTTTTTTCTTTTTTATGAAAAACAATAAATCAGAATTTACATAAAAAGAAAGATTTATTTATTTTAAAAATTTATTTGGATTAAATTATTTCTAATTTTACATTTTCTGCTGTTTGTCTTCACGTTGCTTGATACTGGATCTGTGATACCACAAAATATGGATCGTGTAAGTCAGAAATTCCCTCGTACGCCTGACCGTCAACACGTTCCAGGTATCTCCACACGTCAAGTGGACCTAGCAAGTCGTGCATCTCATATGTACCGCATGCGGGTAATTTAAGTTCATCTCCTCTAGTCGTATCTTTTGCTACATGCGCAGCATCTTCATCCTCTGATTACTCATCAGGAGAGAGCTTTTGCCGATGGTTTATTGCACAAAATGCCGGCCCGTTGTTTGTCTGTTCAGTCTTGTTTACGGATGAGGCAACATTTGGAAAAGAGGGAATATCAAATGTACACAACCAACATTTGTCAGGGATCGGGATCCACATGGTACTATAGGGGTTAGACACCAGCTGATTAAAGCGTGGGCCTGAAATGTAGGTGTCTGTCTGTCATTAAGTCCATATGTTCTCCCAGTACATCTTACAGGAGATGTCTGCAGGGACATTATTTTGAACTCACTTGCCGACCTGCTAGAGTTTGCTCCTGCTAATACGAAAACGCATGTGGTCACCAGAACATTTTAGTCACAGTGTTCACGATGCACTGGATGACATCTATTTTGAAATAAGGATAGTTTGGGGAGGACTAGTTTCATGGCCTTCACGTTACACCGACCTGAATCCTTCTGATTTTTCTTTATGGTACCGCATAAAACCATTGTTTTTCAGCAGAAATTAATAATGCAGAGAAACTTCATCGACGTGTCATGGGGACTTGAGACACCATTCGACATCGTGTGAAGTTATTTGACGTTCAAAATAAATGGGATATATGTACATATTAAGAAAACATTCAAACATTTATTTCAGGTTTATCAATATTATTTCTATTTTTAAATTAAAAGGGCATTTTTTTTTCTTTTCTTTATAAAAATTAAACCATAAATTACGATAATTTAAATAATATTAAAAATTTACTTGGATCAACATACTTAAACATATATATATATTTGTTGTGGACATCTGTACCATCATATCTTTTCTCTTGTGTAATAAGCTAGGGTTATTTAAATACTTTAGGATCACCAATTTTTCAACAAGACATATGTTACACCTATTTCCTTTCCCGTTATAAGATTTCGCTCTTTCTATATATCCCAGTTGATGAAAGGTGAATTACTAAAAATAGCACTGCTCTCTCCAAATATTTCTCGCAAATAAAGAGTGATGGCGATTCATTTATCATCAGCTGGAATATTATAGCAATATCCAAATGATTTTTTTTTATTTTAAAATTAAATTACGTAACGCCCAGTGTATACACAGCATCAAATATTGTGTTGTGTAGGAAAGTCCGAGTATTTTTTTCCTCAGTCAAAATACGCATATTTATTAATATATACTTAATAGCTCTGTTGTATTATGTCGAAAACAGTTATATTAATACCAGCACTATATGTGCGAGATAAATATACACAAACATATCATTCGATATATATATATATATATAGAAATGTATGTATGTATGTATGTATAGATATACATATGTATACATGTGTGTGTATACGTTGATAGATTCACAGAGAAAGACAGATATATTTTTGCGAGTGTTATTAATGTGTGTTTGATCTCTAAG